TTCAAGTATTGCTTGCGGAAACTGAGATCGCCCGAGGTTTTTCTAGCAATAAGTAATCTAACAATAGCTCCAGCATACGACAAGAATCAAGATGCTGGAGACTCACTCTGAATCGCGATAAAATTAAGCCGAAGCTTGAGAGCTTGGAGAATGTCCAGATGACATATGTCGATCGAGGTAACGCCGATATTCATTAGCCGTTCGCCAGTGCGCATTCCTCAAAACCGTCTGAAAACACGACTTCATAGAAAAGTAAGTACAAAGGAAATCAGTTGTACCAGTCTTTCCGAAACATTCCCAGCTGCGTGCACAACATGATTCAGAGCACTGAAATAAAAACTTTGTTGCAGCAATCCAAAAACAAACCTGAGGCCGCTTTGATTTGAGATATTCCACAGCCACATTGGGCATCCAATTTCGTGACTTCATCAAATAACACACGGCTACAGTTGCGCTGCGAGTTCTTCCTGCCTGAAAAGAAGTACACTCGTAGCCAAACCACATCAGGCCACATTTGTGTAGATCTTTCACTGCAATTTTAGGTAAGTATGGCTCTGAATTAATGGACTATACTCACCTTGCAATGCACATATACAGATTTTCCTTTGGCAGCGACTGAGTCGATAAACTGCACTGCAGAATCTATCTGTGGCCTCCCAGCGGAACCAAAAAAGTCGGTCATTGGAATGCTGTGCACTTGCACACCAGCGTCTTTCCAGTCCTTCAGCGGATTTCATTACGCAACAAAAGCTTTTAACAAATAAGCAAAACAATCGGGATAGGAAGGTTGTCAGCATCCGGCATGTGGGTATAAGCTTATTATTACTGAGTATTAGTTCACTCACCTCCTTCTTTATAGCATTGTAAGCATACTCTAATTCGAAGTCCTCGACGCAACATACTACGCCACCAACATTTTCCTTCTGAAATGTTGGGAAAAGACATATTGCAATGCTTCTCTGCTAAGTGCTTCTTACCACGGCCTAGTCAGTTACCATGAAGATGAAAGACT